TTTTTTTAAAAAAACAGCCAAATGTAATCCAACTTGTATTTTTGGCATTAATATGGGACAGGCAGAGCACAAGAGAGATGGACATGCAAATTTTTCCGTGTTGCTAAAGTCTGCTTTTTTAGTCTCTCCCCACATCAGCCCTGGAAGATTGAAATATCAATTACAGATCAATTTTCTCCTTAAGTAAACACTAATGCAGGATAAACAGCATTAGGAGATGCAATCGTAGCATTGCTGACTTCAGGACCGACTGCCTGCTGCTCACAGCAAGTTTAAGCTTGGAGATTAATTAACCTGAGGAGATATCACTTAAGGAAGATTTAAGGCGATCAGGTTTGGGAAAACGAAGCAACCAGGCATATTAAGGAGAAGGCCGTGAGTTTCTAGAAAGGAGCAGCAAACTTTGATCTCTGCTCCTGCGGTTGAAGCTCTTGTTTTCCAGGCTTTAAGGATCAGCTTCAGAAACGGGGGCATTCTCCTTTCGTAGATAAGCCATGGTAAAGCCACAGGCTCTTAAAATAATTCTGGTCCACAATCCAAAGAACTAGGGAAGAGTTTGAAAAGCGCCACATCATGACAACCTCTTCTAAAGGAGACATCTAGTTTCCTTACTGATATGAACAAATATCAGTCAGGGAAGAGAAATTAGCAATTAGCTTTTGGAGAAGCCTAGATGATGTTGCTATGTTCTGGTAGATTACCATCAGCCTGGTGTTTGCAATTTTATTGTCCTTTATTGTCAGGCATCCTTTCTTAACCTTTGGGCTTGCAGAAAATCAGAGACTCGGATTTTGTGGAACGGACTGCAAATGGTCAGCTGCTTGGACATCGACCACAGAGGAGCTGCCTCAGTTTGACTAAGCGAATGTTGACTTTCATCGTGGACAACGTCACCTATGGGACTGGAGTCCACAGGAGATGTATCATGGTTGGTGGATGCTCCTTAGAATGCACCCGGATATTCTGGGGGCACAGAAGAGCAACTGAAACCCAAAGCTAAAGTTGACCCATTTCAAGGAGACTGGGAATGTTGGGATGACCTTTAATCAAAAGGCAACTCAATTCTATAGGAATTGCCCGGGAAAATCGGCCGAGCAGTTGATTCTAAATTTGGATCCAAGGCAAGCCAGCATTTATTCCAGAAAAACCTCCTCTTCTGGAACGAATGAGCAAAGGCACAGGAGCACACGTCTTGGAGCAGGCCCACAAGTTCAACTCGCTCAAGGATCTTAGCTTAAGAAGGAAAGAGAATTAGCAACGATCCAGTTTTAGATTACATAGCCCAGCCATTTCTGGCCAAATAAATATCGCTGGTTGCCTCTTTTTGTCACCTGTTCTATCACAGCTCAGCCAATGAGAAGAAAAGGGACTATGACAGTATTAAGTGTACTCAAACCAGACAGCAGATCAAGGGAAAGAACCAAATCCTGAGAGGGAAGTCCAGATCCCCTTCCCCTTCAGCCTGACACTCAAGAAACGCGATCAGATGAAGCTTCCTTTTGACAAAGGACAAGAGGTTGAGAAAGACAGGCTGCTTTTCCGGCAGAAAAGAGCAAGGTTTCTCCAGAGAAAGAACTCACTTCTATCGAGTAGAGATTTCCTTTCATGGTTTTCATAGGACAATGAATGATGGGGCCATTAGAGGACCCATTTCGCCTTCCTGCCAACACCAATGTCCGGGGAAACGTCATCTGCCAACTCCAATGCCTGCCCTGAAGGAACCAGTCTTCCCTTGATCTTCTTTTGAAATTAAGACAAGAAACCACTGAGGCTTGTCAGTGGAAAAACCTCCCCTACGGCTCCACTGGAGAGCATTTCTTCACAAATAATTTCACAGCAAGCTTGAAAATGCTACAGCACACCCTTGAGGGAGGAACGAGGAAGCCCAGAATTCGGAGGCATTTCCCTACCTGTTGCCATCACTGGGCTTTCGTGAACGCCACTGTGGGGGCCCTGAACAGGCAGACCCATTGGAGAAAAGGTCTTTTGGACCATTGCTGGTCAAGAAGACCCTGGAGAGATCAAGGAAGCAGTGGCCGAACGTTGGGTATTCGTGAGGTGTTTCAGTGCTGCTGGATCAGGGGACGCCCTCGTCAGCCTGACCTTCTGGCTAATGGAAGGCCTCAAAGGCAGCCCTGCGGTCAGCAGGGCCACCAACGACCATCCAGAGGCAGTTCTGAATCCTGGGAGTTGAGGTCCACTTGTCTTAATTTTCCCTTTGGAAGGGGCTCCACGGGTAACAACCCTCTCAGCTTGAGGAAGTGAGCCCCGGAGGACAGAGCCAGGAGTCTCACGGAGGCAGAAGGGAGAAATAAGCACCAACCGGGGGTCGTCGCTAGTTTTGTAACATTAATTTGTTTTTATTAAGAAGACAGATACTTTATAGTACTTCTTTCTCTTTTGTAAAAATGGTATACATGAACCAATACAAAATGTGAATGGGAAGAGATGGTTATGCGTTTTCTTACACTGTAACATCATCCATGGACACCTTAAACAGAATCGGCCTAAGGGGGCGAAATTAAAACAGGTCAAAGGGCGAGTCAAGAACAAGCTTATTTGGCATTTCCCTCCTCCGCTTTCCTTTTTGTTCCGTCTTAAGGAAAAGGAAAAGGGGGAAACTATAAAACCACCTCCGGATGACCAAAGCCCCAAAAACAAGTTTGTTCTTTCTCAACTCCTAACTCTTGGAATCTAAGCCTGCACAAATCAATAGCTAACAATACATTTCAAACAGTGCACGTCACACTTGCAGGAACAACCACCGCCGCCCCCCTCCTCAAAAGAGCCTCCTTCCCGAGCGGTGGCGGGAGACCACCGCCCATCCTTTCCCTGGGTGGGGGAGGGGTTGCTCCTGGCGGTCTCTTCCAAGGTGTGGGATCCAAAAAGTTTGCAATCTACCTGAGACGGAAACACCAATCAAAACACGTGAACCTGAGACATCTCAACAGTATTAAGTCAAAAGTTACATCGGGAACACGGCACCACTGTACACTTTCCAAAACAAAGATGAGCCGCTCAGCGCAGAGGATGTGCCAGTTCTGGGATCGGTGGTGGTTAAAAAAAGGCCCCCTCCCTCTTGAAAATCGTTCAGAAGCTGTCCATGGCCTGCCTGCCAGTGTGCCCCCCCCCCCGACTGGGGTCTCCGGTGGGTCCGAAGGCTGAGAAACAAGATGGCGTGGTACAAAACGGGTTGGGGGGGGCAAAGGCCGGGTTTGGGGTTCATGGCTTAAGGATGGCAAGGTTGGGGGGGGGGGAAGGTTGTCGGGGGAGGGGAGATGGGAAGGTTCTTTTAAAAAGGACGGGATTCGCGTGCCAAATTCTTCAGCGAAAGGTTAACATCTAAATGTTTCTGCCAATAATTTAAAAATAAATATTTTCAAAAGCCTTTCTTTTCTTTTAAAAAAAAGATGTTGACGTAAAGAGATGATAGTCTCTCTCTCTCTCTCCCTCCCACCCTCCCCGCGATAAATCTTTGCAAGTATATAACAGGACAGCCATACAAATCTATCAGTCAATATCCTTTTAAGTGCTTCCCTGTAAGCCAACCCTGCTCCCAATGTGGATTCTTCCTGGAGAGACCCAGTGGCCCAAGGGCAGTGGTTCTCAACCTGAGCAACTTTAAGACAAGGGGACTTCAACTCCCAGAATTCCAGCGTTGTGTTGCTGCTGGGGAATTCTGGGAAATGAAGTCCACGTGTCTTAAAGTTGCTAAGGTTGGGAAACACCGCCTTAGATGATTCTGGAGCAAGGCTTCCTCCCTCCGTCCTTCCCTGGGCTTTCTGAGAGGGAGGTGCCTCCGTTTCCAGCCTTGGGGAAGAGAAGAAAGCTTCTCTGATCTCCCAGAGCTTCAGGTGTCCAACCCCCATCAGGAAAACGTGGTGTTGGTTGTCTCTTCCCTACTTCTACCACCATGGGAAGATTGATAAATTATCGGTAGGTGGAGGTTGGGCCTGGGGAAGGGAACTAAGACTCCATTTGGAAGCTGTAGTCAGGGAAAAAGAAAATAATATTTCTCTGTCTCTCTCTCTCTCTCTCTGTCTGTCTTACACACCCCACTCAGCCTGAAAAAATTTGGATCCAGTAAATGAAGCGCTTCTGCGCCAGCCGCTGCGCTGATTTCCTGGGGACAGAGGCTCAGTGGCCGTCCAGCCGGAGAGCAAGGCTCGCTTCTCTTCCATCCCCACTCTGCTTTTTGTCCTACAATCACATCCAAAGGCGTGGCAAGCAGCCTTGGTGACTTCGGGGCGCCCAACATGGGTCACGCATGGGGTTTGCAGGCCGAGAGCACAGCGTGACTTCTGTCGCCAAGCGCCAAGGGAAGAAGGGGTCAAACGAGGCCGAAAGAATACGCAGAACCAAAACGGGGAGGAAAATTTTTTAAAAAGCAAAAGTGTGGACGAGTGTGGCCGATTCAGAGAGTTTTCTGTCTCCAGCAAATGACAGCGGTGCTGGGCCAAAATGGGAGCCACCGACGGGACCTTTGGGAACCAAAATAAACAGAGCCAAACTCAGCCTTTCCTCCCCCTTGTGTGACCGGGGTTTGTAATGTTGTCCGCAAAGGATCTGCGCCCCCCCGTTCACGGCAACCGTTTCGGGGAAGATCTTGGGCGAGGTCTCTGCAGGCTGACTGCGCCCGTCCAGAGACTCAGGAGTGCGGAGAAGCACGGAAGGGAAGGAGGTTTGGCTCCCTAGGCACACACTTTGCTCGCAGGTGCTCAAGTCAGCACACTGGGGGCTCTCGGTGAGAAGCAGCACCGGCCCAGGTGCTCGTCTTTGCGCACTGGAAACTGAGGCAGCGGCTGCCCCTCCTCCTACAAAGCCTATTGGTCCAAGCTCTCACAACAAGGGATTATGATGGATGATGGGTACACTCAGTTTCAAACAATGAAATCTAAGGTGTGCTGGTTCTCCTTTGATGACACGGTTTCAAACAACAACAACAAAATAGAACCCAGAATCTCAAACAAAAAGAAAACAAAAAAAAGAGGAGGAGAAGAAGAAATAGTAGAAGAAGAGAAAAACTAACAAAACCGAAGAAGTTTTTAAAAAAAAAAAAATAATAATAATAACCAACCAGCCCAAATCTTTTCTCAAGGGATTCCAGCAGACAATTCCAAGAAAGGCTAGGAAGAAGAAACGAGAAAGGTAAGAACTGTATGAAACTGTAGGATCTCTCCCCCCCCCTCCGCCCTCCCCTCCCTCCAATGAAATAAAAAATAAAACAAGGCACAGAATTTTCTGTAAATGATGGAACTAAACTAAATCCAAGCTGAACTTGGCCAGAGAATTAACAACCCAATGATACAGAAGTGTCACACAGCAGAGTGTACTTGACAAAGGACACCTTTTCTTTTTTTTTACGTTAGGACTCCTCAACTCCCACACATTTGCCAGCCATAAATTTAGAAAATAAAAAGAAAGGAAAGGAAAGGAAAGGAAGAAAAGGTAAGAAAGAAAGGAAGGAAGGAAGGAAGAAAGAAAGAAAAGAGACACAAAGAGACAAATTAAAAAAGCTGTAAGCTGGTAGCAACTTCCAACATCATTGTCTCTATCTTCTTGGAAGGGCCTGGGCCTCCCTCAGCCCGGCCGTTGGGCGCCTCCTGAAACAAGGGGGCTCTAAATGAAGTATTCCTTCTTCTCTTCAGAATTGTTCTGTCCGCCCTCGGCGTTGATGATGGCAGTGTCGGCATCGGCTGCGTCGTCAGCCCCTTTGGCTTCGTGGGTGAAGTATGTACCTGCGCCAAGGAGAGAGGACTCAGGGACTCTGCCACCCCAGGTGAAGGA